CTATGATTCAATGAAGGCGGAGTTTCGATTTATGCATTGAATCAAAAGCATTAGCTATGGCAAGACTTAACCAATCTAAAACCAATCCCCCAACTGTTACATAAATTCCAACTATGTGCATCATTACATTATGCGTGAAGTACATAATAACGTATAGATGAAATGATATATAGCAATAAGTTTAACTCGGTACTTATAATCATGAGCATATAATAATACGATATAAAATAGAAATAAAAATCATCCATAATTTAAGGGAGGCATAATCACTAAAGTATAGGTAGAACATCGCAATTTCCGTAATACAAACAACATTACACATGTCTTCACTCTTTACTAAAGAGTATAAGCGGACTACTCACACTTCATTGCTATAGATAAGTAAGAAGGGTAAGACAGTCCCAGTACAATACAATGCAAATGCAAAACAAAAGCAAATAATCCTTCCTTGAGAAATAGTTGAAACACCCTCACTCTTATTACCTACTAGGGCAAAAAATTGAGAGAGGTTCAACCCTCCAAGTAAAAAGGACATAAAAGAAATTTAGAAGAAGAGAATTTTTGACTAGGAGTACTTAGGGTAGGGTATTTTTTCTCTCAGACTCTGGCTTGCCAAAGGTGGAAGATCTCCCTCTAAAATGACTTCAAACATGCCTATTTATAGGATCTGATGAAGTGTTAAGGCGATAGACACCCAAAGCAGCCAATTAGGGCTTTTGCAACATTAATGGTCCAATAGGAGAAAATGAGGAGGTGAGACGGTTAAGACCACCATCTAGATGCCACCACCACCGTCCGGACGATGCTCATCATTTGAATTTTGCATTGCAGCCTCTTTTGTTGTCTTCTTTGACTTTGGCCATCATTGGGATGATAGCCAGATGGTGATTGTGTGTTGATTTTCCTTTTGCCTCCCTCCTTTTGTTCCTCTTTTGTGCTTTAATCCTCCAAGTTCCTTAATTACGTATGAAACCCTACAAAATATATAATTCAAATATTAATCATAAATTCCAATAAAAAAAACATCAATCATAAATTAATCTCAATTAAGCACTTTAAATCAATTAACACACATAATTAACTCTAAATCTTAATTTATTTACACACTTTTTAAGGTTAATCACACTCCTCAATAAACATTACTAGTCCCTAGTAATACAAATAAATATATACAATCACTTTCGTAGATTTTACGATTGCATTTAACTTATACAACAAATCGTTAAACCCCTAGGTAATCAATCCCTAGTGGATGAGTTTTGTCTCATGAATATTTCTAGTGAAAAGTACCTAAAAACTTCAACAGTTAAGATAAAATAATCCATATTTTTCACTTGTAAAAAATTAAATCATCATTCCATCTTTATGTCAGAATACTCCCTCTCCTTATCATTGTAAGAGTAACACACAACAATTGTAACACTATTTAGTATATTTCTAGAAAAACTCGTGTGTGTGTGAATTTCTTTATCTCAAAAATACTTAAGAAATATCACAACCCTTTTCTACGCTGTACAAAATTTAGTTTCAACATCAATCTTTTCCTGAAAATCACTTAACAAAGTACACACTCAAGTTTTAGTGACCATCACTCAAAAATTATATGTGATAAGAATATTGAAATCAAAGCAAAGTAATGACACATGTAATATTTTAAAAGAATGTTATTTGAATAAAACTGAAAATTGACATAATCTCATGAAAGAATATTAACACTATATCAAATAAAATTGTCAACACTCCCCCTCATAAATGAATGGTTGAAAATGATATATATTCATGATTTTTGGAATCAAAAATGACTTTATTAAGGTTATAACGTGGGTAAGGGTGTTGGGTTTAAGAAACGACGTCTAAGGAATTCAAAAACTATCATTTTCAATTTGGGTAGCACACATCTCTCTTTAACTTTCCAAGCTTTTACAAAAACAACGTTGTATTTTTTGTTCTCCATTTTCAATCTCAAGCTTGTAATTTCTCGGCCATTCTTTTCTTTGCAACACTTTCTTTCCCCTTTTTCCATTTTCTTCCCACACATTCTTTCCTTTTTTTTTTTCTTTGTTTTCAACCATATTCTCTACTTTTCTTTTTTAAGAATTATAAAATTTTTCTATTGGGGTGCAATTTGGATAGGCCAATGCAAACCCAACCCGAAGAAAACAATTCTTGGGTTGAACTTAAGCTAAAAATCCTCAACCCGTGATGGTCGTACACGGGTTGAGGTTTCGGATTCACGGGAACAACCCTAGCCTAGACGAATTTTTTTTAAATTAGTTTCAACCCGAGTTATGTATTTAATTTGTTTATGTAATTCTAATTTGCACCCTTAAACCAATTTGTATCCTGAAAGTTAAACTTCCCCATATTGCACCCTCAATCGTGTGAAATTATTTCAATGTGGTTCAGGGCTAGACGTCCGTTGATATCTCCGTCTGTTTTAAGCTCACGTGACAAGCACATGAAAACTTGAGGGCTTAACAGGTAAAATGCCAAACAATTTTTGGCAAGCAAATGGTGTGCCCAAAATACTCCTCTTCATATTCGATCCAAACGAAAAATAGGAAGAAAGAAGAGGAAAAAAAAAAAGGAGGAAGGGGAAAATGGAGGGGTATTGCTATTGTGGTAGAAGAGCTCAAAGTAAGACGTCATGAAAAAATTTTGCTTTGTTTTGAATGAATAATGTTAAAAAATTTTGGGCAAATCTTGCTCAATTACAAGCAAATAGTTGTGCATTAGTTGTTTTAAAATAATTAGAGAAGACAAACACTAATCAACAAAGTCATTTGTGCATTAGTTTCAGTTACAGATTTTATAGAATTTTTATTACATATTAACCCCTCAAGATTGCATGTGCTCATCCTGTGAGCTTAAAACAGATAGAAATATCAACGGACGCCTGGTTGTGGTCACATTGAAACAATTTCACACGATTGAGGGTGCAATATATAAAAATTTATCTTTCAGGGTGCAAATCAAAAAATTTAGTATCTTTCATGGTGTAAAGTGGAATTAACTCTTTATTTATATGTGCATTAAAAGAATATTTTGTTAAAAGACTCACCAATAAAAACTCACATTCATCAATAACCTTATATAGGAATAGGAGTTCAAGCTCTCTCGTTTATTCCATTTGGATATTGGATAAAGAGTAAAAGAAGATGTCTAAGTTAGAATCCCACATCAGTTGGAAACAAAAAATGTGTCACCATCCTCTTTTATATCAAGAAGGCTATGGAAAACTAATGTCTATAATGGATTTCAAAAAGCAAAGGTAGAAATATCTCGTAAATTGAACATTTGAACCTGATTTAGCAACTGAGTATAACCCAAACCAATGTGGGAAGGACTCAAGATTGAGAAGTTTCATGTCCAAGTCAACTTGGACTCAGATTAAGAGTTTCATAACTTGGGTTTGACTTGGGCTGACCTCTCAGCCTGTCTAACCCACCCAAATTGCAGCCCTAATTTTAAAGATGGCAATGCAAGCTAAGTTGCAACAAGAACTACCTGTGAAGGAGGAAGCAGGCAAAAATGGCAAAGCAACTGATTATCTCGATTGATTATCTTACTTCAATGCATCATTTTTTTTACATAACAACCCAGGGTCATTTTAGTTGCCCCAAGTTCCTTCACATTTAAGTCATTAATTCATATGACTGAACTATAAGCACGCTCGGTAGCCCAAGTCGCAAAATAGTTACAACTCTCCCACATCTCACACTTTGCAGAAACCTCGTNCTCAAAGTAAGACGTCATGAAAAAATTTTGCTTTGTTTTGAATGAATAATGTTAAAAAATTTTGGGCAAATCTTGCTCAATTACAAGCAAATAGTTGTGCATTAGTTGTTTTAAAATAATTAGAGAAGACAAACACTAATCAACAAAGTCATTTGTGCATTAGTTTCAGTTACAGATTTTATAGAATTTTTATTACATATTAACCCCTCAAGATTGCATGTGCTCATCCTGTGAGCTTAAAACAGATAGAAATATCAACGGACGCCTGGTTGTGGTCACATTGAAACAATTTCACACGATTGAGGGTGCAATATATAAAAATTTATCTTTCAGGGTGCAAATCAAAAAATTTAGTATCTTTCATGGTGTAAAGTGGAATTAACTCTTTATTTATATGTGCATTAAAAGAATATTTTGTTAAAAGACTCACCAATAAAAACTCACATTCATCAATAACCTTATATAGGAATAGGAGTTCAAGCTCTCTCGTTTATTCCATTTGGATATTGGATAAAGAGTAAAAGAAGATGTCTAAGTTAGAATCCCACATCAGTTGGAAACAAAAAATGTGTCACCATCCTCTTTTATATCAAGAAGGCTATGGAAAACTAATGTCTATAATGGATTTCAAAAAGCAAAGGTAGAAATATCTCGTAAATTGAACATTTGAACCTGATTTAGCAACTGAGTATAACCCAAACCAATGTGGGAAGGACTCAAGATTGAGAAGTTTCATGTCCAAGTCAACTTGGACTCAGATTAAGAGTTTCATAACTTGGGTTTGACTTGGGCTGACCTCTCAGCCTGTCTAACCCACCCAAATTGCAGCCCTAATTTTAAAGATGGCAATGCAAGCTAAGTTGCAACAAGAACTACCTGTGAAGGAGGAAGCAGGCAAAAATGGCAAAGCAACTGATTATCTCGATTGATTATCTTACTTCAATGCATCATTTTTTTTACATAACAACCCAGGGTCATTTTAGTTGCCCCAAGTTCCTTCACATTTAAGTCATTAATTCATATGACTGAACTATAAGCACGCTCGGTAGCCCAAGTCGCAAAATAGTTACAACTCTCCCACATCTCACACTTTGCAGAAACCTCGTACACTGAGTGTCCTCTTTTTTCTCTTGACAGTTATATCAGGACCTGAAATGCCGTTAGATAAGAACTATAGGTCCTGTCACCCGTATATTAATCTTCATACATATAGACATTAGTCTTGAGCAAATTGCATAGTAACTAGAATGTGTAAATATATTCTATCCATTAAGGTGGCGAAGCATCCAAGGGGGCATGACTGTGTTAGTTTGATGATGCCGCGGAGTAATGTCTTCTACTTCTCCACTGCCTCCTGCCTGGTACGCATCACTGCATTGCATATGCTTCTACATTGTTAGTTGACACAAAGGAGAACTTCAGAAATACACAGACAAAGGGGGTTGGGGGAGAGAGAGAGAGAGAGAGGGTCACCCAATGTCCATGGGATGTGACGGAACCAATGAGGATGGGTTCAAGTCATGATTCTGCTGCTCCCACTGAACCTGTTGGGCCAGCTCCTTCTCCTTTTCCTTGACCTATATCAGCTCTAGTATTAGATATATCTATATATATATATACACACACATTCACATATGGAATTTCTTTTGTGGTCATTAAGTGGGCCAATTGTTTAGCTAAACATGTGTTGTTATGTACTGAGTCATGTGGAGACAGGAATGTCCTCCTTTTATGTAATCCATTCTCCAAAATCATGTATTACTTTTTGATTGAATGAAATTTATCGTTTTCTTATCAAAAAAAAAAGTGGTAGATGAACTGATATTCAGAAAAAGCAGCACGGACAGAGTATTTATGTAAACTTAATGAATCACCTTCTTTGCAAGCAAGCTATTTTGATCCTGCAATGCTTTGTCCTGTCAAAGAAAACGTTAAATGATCTAGGAACGGAGAGATGGAGCAATAGATTCACAAAATTTCAAAGCAGGAGGGCCAAATCAAGAAATATTATTATTAAGGTGGTAAGAATTTTAATTCTTGATACATAGAAGGGAGTCATGGGCCTCATGGCCCAACTCCGGCCCCTAGGCCCCAATATAGCTCCCCTTGGATGTAGTTGCCCTCATTTCATATTTCAAAGATTGTTAAACAACCTGTTCTTTTAAAATTTAAGTTATTGAAGAGAGATCTAACATATGTACTTATCTAATATTCGCCATACGTGGCTTCTCTTGTACAGTCCGATTTTTTATGTGTATAGAATTGATTGATACATCTATATAATAAAGTAGAATATAATTCAAATCTCAAAAATAATAAAATGACTTTTACTTTTCGTTATTGAGATTTGTTTAAATTTAATTTGAAGTTAATCCAACGACAAATATTAGCACTCCAAATCTAATAAAAAAAATAGATTCCTAAAGATGTATTTGAGGTGATTTTTTAAAGTATATCTAAGACTTATAACTCCTCATGAGGACTTTAAAAAAAAATAGTATTTGTAATCATTCCACCACCACCACTACCACAACCACCCCACCTCCATCATCACTACCACCCCATCATCACAATTACCCCCACCACTATCGCCGCCGCCGCCGCCATCACCACCACCACCACCACTCTACCACTACAACCACCGCCATCACTATCGCTAACCTACCACCATCGCCACTATCCTATCATCCCCTGTACCACCCTCACCCCCACTCCCACTACCCTACCCCCATAACCATAACCACCACCACCACCACCGCTGCCACCCCCACCATCGTCGCCACCCTACCACTGCCATCACCCCCACCAGCACCACTGCTATTGTCCCAATATCACCCCCACTGCCCTCACCACCAATTGTTATCACCGTCGTCTACCGCCACCACCTATCACCATCGTCATCTCATTCTTATACCTCTACTACCATCATCCCATTACCACGTCGCCCACTTTCAGCACTCATCACCATTCGTTGTCATCCACCATCGTTGTCAGCCACAGTCACCTGCCACCACCACCATCTTCGCCCCATCTCCACCACTGACAACCACCATTACCTACACCCACCCCTACCCCCACCACTATCACCGGCACCCCACAGCTACCACTATCACCATCATCACCCAAAATCAACCACCATCACCGTTGCCACCCACGGGCTGCCACTATTATAACAATCGTCGTCACCCATCGCAATCATTACCGTTTTTCACCACCACCACTACTGCCCACCAAATCTACCACCGCTCACCCTCACTACAACCGATGCTTAAATTGTCTTTTTTCTTCTATGTTTGTGATTTGATTTTAGGTGTGAATATAAATATGTTTATTATTAACCATTTTTTTAATACTCGGTGCCTTTAGACACAAAATAACTAGTCTATATAATAAAATACAATACAATTCAAATCTTAAAAAATAAACAAAATAATTTTTACTTTTCACGATTCAGATTTTTTTAAATTTTTCTTTAAAGTTAATCTAACAGCTGATATTAACATACCAAATTTAATAAAAAGAATAGACCCTTAAAGGTATGTTTGGGGTGACTTTAAAAATACTTCTAAAACTTATAACTTCTCATAAAGTACTTAAGAAAAATAAATAATAGTAGAAACCGCCACACCACTGCCATCTCCATTGCCGCACCACCACCTCCACCACCATCACCACTGCCACCAAAACTACCCCCACCAGCCCCACCCCCACCCTCATCACCCCCACTACCATCACCACTACCATCGCCGCTGCTATCGTTGCCACCACCGTTGCCACTATCACTATCGCCACCCCACCACCACAGCTGCCATCATTACTATTGCCACCCTACCACCACCACATCCCCACCAACAACATCCCCACCACCACCAACACCACCACCACCACCGCTGTACCACCCTACCACCACTACTACTGTCCCACTATCACCCCTACCAACGCCACCCCACCACCACCACTACCATCGTCGCCACTGCCACTTCCCACCCCCACCCCCACCCACTGCTCCACCGCCACCCCCAATTTCAACCCCACCACCGGTTACTACCACCATCGTCCACCACCACCACATACCACCATCATCATTTCATTTTTATATTTATTATCATTACCACTATCATCCCACTACCACTGTTGCCCATCGTCAACACCCATCACTACCATTGTTGTCCACTACCACTCACTACTACAACCTACCACCACCCGTCATCGCCCACCATCATCGTTAGTCACTGTCACTCACCCCCACCACAACCCTCATCGCCCATCACTGCTACCCACCCCCACCATACCTACCACCACCACAACCGCCGCCACCATTCACCACCACCAATCACATTGTCGCCTAGAAGTACTCCTTGTTGCCCACCACCACCATCGTTACCGCCCACCACCACAACCGTCATCGCCCCACCACCACTACTACCAACCACCATCACCGTTGCCCCCCTCCCACCACCACCAACACCCATGGCTATCATTACCACCACCTTTATCCAAAATCCACCACCACCATCATCGTTGCCACCCATAGCTGCCATTATCATCATAATCGTCGCCACCTATCACCATCTCCCACCCACCACCACTGTCGCCCACCACCATTACTATCGCTCACCTCCTCTACAACTGGTACTTGAATTCATTTCCATCTCCTCTATGTTTGTAATTTGATTTTGAGTGTGAATACAAATATATTTATTGTTGACCACTTTTTTATTACTCATGCCTTTAAACACGTGTAATAACTAGTTTACTTATACCAGAATACATACTTACATATAATGAATAGATCATTCTCGAAAACTAAGCACAAGGAAAAAATAAACAAAATACAAGTTGGATACAAACTTAACCTATTGGCTTAAGTACATTTATATATCAACCCATTCTTTTGCTGCCTCCATGTGGGTTCCAACACTACCTCCTACATGTGAGTCATATTTTTATAATGGGTGTTATTTCGCTTAGAGCATTTGCTATCCTATTTTGCTTACTTTTTTTTTTTTTTTTAATGTAGCACTTGCTAGTTATTTTTTCTCCCTCAGATACTGGCTGTTATGATCTTTTGGGTCCTGATACCCTTGTTAAACCACCAGCTCTTCTAAAGGTTACGTTGTTAGAGACGGGTCTAACATAAGCAGTTATCTAATTAGGTCATAAGGGCTATGTCTATTATTATGAGATATTTAAGTTATTGTCCTCTGTTGATTTATCCTAAACTAAAGGAAGGGCCTCTCAAGGGCATACTGAATTGATAAACTATAATTTTATCACCCAGAGCAAGCCCTTTATTAATTCATCACACTGAACATTTTGAAAAAAAAAACTTCAAGATTAAAGTCCAAAATCCTAGTTATAAAGTGTTCGATTTCATGCATCTTAGAGGAATATGGAACAAGGTCTCACCTTCTTCTGGAGATCAGAAATGGATTCATGCATGAGTTGGTTCTGTATTGTAAGAAGATTTGATTTCAATGAACATCTCATGATATATATAATCAAATAACATATGATTTATGGAGGATTAAGGTTTCACCTTTCTTGACCTAATGTGTTTAAGAGCTGCATCAATCTGGTGCTCCAAATTTTGAAGCTCCCTAAGACTCAAGGAATCTAAATCTTCTCCCATAAAGTGCCTAACAAACAATAAGAAGGAATTGTTCTTTATCACTGTTCACATTGCAGTGTCATCTATGTAACTTGAGATCTAAATTCGAGTTAGTACCTTTGGCTTCTTTGTAACGTCTCCACTCTTGCCTTGAGCTTTGCATGTTCCAGAGTCCAGTTTCCCTGGACAAAATTTACAATGATTGACCAAGATTTTCTATTATTCAATAACCAATGGGGGGTAAGAAAAAATAATTATTTCCAAATGAAGAACAGCACAAAAAGAAAATTTTTGTTATCATGAATTTTGTTGAGTTCAGAGCAGTTGCATACCTGTGAGTCCAATTCAGTTGCTGAAAGCTGCCTGTCTGCATATGAGTATCTCTCATACCGTTCAAGGATCTTCTCCATGCTGTCAACAAAGAAATCAAGACAAATGTACTGGTAATTAGGTGATCAATCAGACTGAATCTTAACCAAATGTTCACACGCACAGGTGTTTCCAGGCTATTACGGAACAAAGTAAAGAACCTGCTGGTAATTACTCAGCTAAATGTTCAAGCATACAGCTAAGATTTTGAAAATAAAAAGGATTGACTACATATGATTTCTAGTTAAAAGATAAACATTAAACTGTACTTATATAATTCTAGCTAACTTGTCCATTTCATGCCTACTCTCAAAAATGCAATTTAATTCACCAACATACACATCATGCTATAGGTAAGTCATTACCAATAACAACACAAATTTGTGCAATTCAATTCAGACTTTGCTTGAGCACACATAAATAAGGCAATGACAAGATGGTAGAAGTGTGGAAGGCACCCTATAATGTTGAAACTGGAAGGCAGTGTGAGCCATCTAAATACCATCATTGATATTTCGTTCAATCCCATTACAAAAACACCTGCGCAAATGGCAGGTAATATTGCATAAAGGAGAACTATTGAATCCAATTAGGAAGCGAAAAAATTATTTGGGTCAAACTTACCTTTCAGAAAAAGATTTTAAGCAAGAGCAAGTGTTTTCACTCAATGACATCATGTGTTGCATCTGTAGATATCAGCCAAATATGGTGAGAAACAGCTAAGAAGCACGGACACGGATACGGGACATAGACACGGTGACACAATATTTTTCAAAAAAGTAGAACACAGACACATTAGAGATGTGTTAAATAGTATGTATTTAATATTATATACATATAATCATGTGATAAAATAATAATATTATCATAATAATTTTTTAATTCATCCTCCCTTACTTTTAAAAATTCACATTGTGATATCACTACATAAAAAATGCAATATAAGATATACCGATATACATTCAACATTGACGTCCATGATCCAACAATCAATGGCTATTACAACTTTTATTTTCAAAAATATTCTATTTCGTAATACTAATTTTCATCAATTTCAAAGAGTCTCAATTTTATAACCCCATTTTTCCTCACATTACTTTGATATTAAAAGTATATTCCATTTATATATAAGTTCATACTTGTGTTCAAAATTATGTTACATTCATGTCTTTTGTTCAATGTCATTAATTATAACTATTTTTATATTATGACTTTGACTCATATTTTTTTTTAAATTACAAAAACAATTCTTAATTATAAAATTTTCTAAAAAGTTTTAAAAAATTTGGAAAAAAAAGCTCAAAACGTGTTCTGAGCATGTCAGGTATGTGTCTGAAAAAAATTTAATATTAAAAAAATCAGACACTCATTTTAGCATGTCTGAAACGTGTTGTGTCCCAAACGTGTCTGACGCAGACATTCTGGCTAAAATGAAGTGCCCATACTTCAAAGACTAACATAGATCAAAATTTTATTTTGGTGCGTAGTTTTGGCGAACTTGAAAACAAAAACGTTTCATTAATATTTCGGAAACAAGATAGAACGAAGGATTAAAATTTTAATTCGATGTGTTATTTCGGTTACTTAGGAAACGTAAACGTTTCAATGAATTTCGAAAATGTTTAAACCCGTTTTAGAAACAGAATAAAAAAATAATTATTTTGATTCTATCACTTATTCGTTTTGGTCTCCAAGGAAAAAGAAATATTTCAGATGATTTGACCATTTCGAAATGAAATTTAATTCCTTAGTGATGAGAAAAACAACAGCTCTAAAGAGATTTGGACCCAAGAGTTAAATTTAGAGGGCAAACAAGAATACAAATACGGATTATAAGAAATAACAATAAAGAATGTTGCTCTTTCATTTTAAAAGTGATTATAGTCGGACTCAACAGCTACTGCAAGCATAAGTTGCAGCAAGGCACAGATGTTCACTAATGAAGAGAACCTTCTATTCATTTATCAAATAGAAAATTTTAGGAAGTGAAAGTTACTCAATGAGCTCTTGGAATTGGAATTAGAGAAAACTCCTTCCACCAAGGTTGGTAATCTGATAAATCTATATAATAAAGTACAATATAATTCAAATATCAAAAGATAAATAAAATGACTTTGTTATTCACAGTTGAGATCGCTTTAAATATTATTTTAAAGTTAATTTAACGGCTAATATTAACACCCCAAATTTAAATAGAAAAAATAAGCCTCTAAAGGTGTGTTTGAAATGACTTTTTAAAATTACTTCTAGAAATTATTTAGAAAAAAAAAATGTTTGAAACCGTCCCACCATTACCTCTGCCGCCACCACCCCCATCGCTCCACCGCCATCACCACTATCAGCACCACCCCCACCACCATCACTATCGCCACCCTACTATACTCACCACCCCACTACCACCACCACCGTTGCCATCACCTTACCACCACCATCACCACATCCATTGCCCCACCACCATCATCGCCCAGCGGTGCCGCTACCACTACCACTCCACCATCATCACTACCACCCCATCATCATCACTACCACTACCACCACTTTCACCGTCCTACCACCACCACCACCACCGTTGTTGTATCCTACCATCATCACTACCGCTATCGCGCCTTACCACTACCACTATTGTCCCACCATCACCCCTACCACAACCATTGCTTCACCACCACCCCTATGACCATCACAACTACCCCTCACCATCGCCAACCCACTATCGCCACTACCCCACCTCCACCCTCACTGCCCTCCCTCCACCACCACAACCATCGTCACCCACCACCGATTGCTACAATCGCTATCCATGGCCACCACTCACCACCATCGTTATCTTATTCTTATATTTATTACCATTACCATCATCATCCCACTACCACCGTCACCCACCATTAGCCCACCACCACCAATCTTCCCCCATCATCACCACCAACCGCCATCATCTGTTATTCGTCGTCACCCATCACACTGTCGCCTAAGAGCACCTATCATCGCCCACCACCACCATCATCACAGCCCATCACCACCTTCGTTGTCCCACCACCACCACCACTGTTAACCACCATCACTGTCGTCCACTACTACCCACACCCACCACCATCACCGTTGCCACCCATTATCGTCACTCATAACCCACTACCATCATCACCATTGTCACCCACAACTGCTACCACTACCACAATCGTCGCCTTACCCACCACAACCATCACCGTCTCTCATCATCACCACTGTCGCCCACCAGCACTTTTACCACTCACCCCCACTACAATCGGTACTTAAATTTCTTTATCTCCCTTCTATGTTTGTGATTTGATTTTAGGTGTGAATACAAATATGTTAACTATTTTTTTTAATACTCCGTGCCTTCAAGCATGGAGAATAACTAGTACTTGAATATGGCATAATAACCAGCGTCTTTAAATCACCCACCCCCAAAACCACACCCTAAAATTATTGTTCAGGGGTACCAAGTACTACAAGGACTATCCCAATCAGTGTGGTTAACTTGTGGAACTGACCTCCTTCAAATTCAACTGATCTAATGGCAATCAGTGATAATATGCAAGTTTCGAATCCAAATCCCTTGGCTAAGGATATTATGATATGAAGTCCTGCCAGTAGATTAAATAGATGCAAACTAATATGCATAAAAGATATGGCTCCCACACTGAGAGAGTCCCAGTCAAATATTATTTATAGAGCTCACCACATACAATAGATGAGACTAAATCTAAAGTAAGTACAATTTGGATTATATATCAAATAGTATCTAATAGCTAACTGATTATTCTGATTCACTAGATAATGGTGAGAGCTATCCACATGAGCTAAGAACTTGTGAAGAGTTGTGTGGGCCATCTCTATATGCCCCCTCAAATTGATAGGGAAGTGCCACAACTATCAACTTGGACTGAAGAAGAGCGAACCACTATGAGGACAAAGGTTTAGTAAAAATACCAGCAAACTGATAAGTAGTGAAAATATGTCCGACCTCTTTTAATAAAAAAAGCAATGTTATAAGGGCCTAATGATATAGCTTCAATACAACCATTAAATTAGTTATGATTTCTAATGTTAGATGGAGCCCACAACCAATCTAATGGTCGTATATCATTAGGTCCTCAAATTAGGTTTAAATAACATTTTTCTAAGAAAAAATAATAAACATGACTTTTCATATTTTAAAAGTTATTTTTATACATTTAGTTTTTTGTATTAGTGGGTCATTAACTTGTTAGTAATGGGGGACAAAGTAATTGTGATATGTTAATTTTTCAAGCAATGGAGGAGTAGGGTCTTTATTATTTTTATTACTGCATTATGTAGTAGAGTTATATATTATATGTAATTCACCTATTTAGGTTGAGTGAATTGAAGAGTTTTTCCTATCTTCAGTAGTCGCTTCCATTATATTTTTTGTGAATATGTGATAGTCCTCTAGATTCCAACAAAGTGACATCAAAGCTATGCTTGAGTGTCAAAAAAGAGAGAGAGATTGAAAGATATCACATTGAATGCTTCCATTTCAAATGCCCCTATTCACCAAAGATAACTATGAGAATTGATGTATCCGCATGAAGGCGATTCTTGGATCCTAAGACTTGTGGGAGATTATAACAATTGGTTACATAGCACCGCAAGATGAAGTTGCTTTAAGCCAAGTCCAAAAGGAAGTCTTGTAAGCTACGACAAAGAAGGACAAAAAAACTCTTTCACTCATCCATCAATGCTTGGTAATACCATGTTACAAAAAGTTGCTAGTGCAACCACATCCAACCAAACATGGGATGTTCTTCAAACTACTCATAGTGAAATGAAAAAAGTCAAGAAAGTTCATTTCCAAACTCTATGAGGTAAATTTGAGGTCTTACGCATAAAGAAATCCGAATTAGTTTCAGATTATTGCACAAGAGCCTTAGTGGTTTGAGAACGTATGGTGGTGATCATTATGATGATACCCGAGTAATAAAAAAAATCCTCTGTTCATTGGACTCCAAGTTTGACTATATTGTCGTAGCCATTGAAGTGTCTAACGATTTAGACATAATGACGATTGACAAACTCATGGAATCGTTGTTAGTCTATAAAGAACGGCTAAACTAGAAGCAAGAGTTGTTGAAAATGCTACAAACCAAGCTTTCTTTCAAAGAAAAAAAAAAGACAAGATTAAAGTCAAAGAGGTAGTGGGTGTCAAGGTGGAGGTGGTGGTGGATGTGGTTGAGGTAGAGGAGAAAGCTTTGGCAAAAATACGTCCAACAAAGAAGAAAGCGAATAATAATCACACTGTGAAAGAAGACGTGAAAGAGACAATAATTCAAAGTCATATGAGGGGAGGTATGACAAATCTCATATTTAATGTTATAATTGTCACATATATGACAATTTTGCTTCCAAGTGTAGAAATAATTTTGTTGAAGAAAGAGTACACTTTGTTGAAGAAAAGGTATAGAGGTACAACTGACCTTGTTGTTGGCATACAAAGAAGAACAAAAGAGAGACAAGAACGTGTAGTACTTTGACTCCAGTGCTAGTAATCATATGTGTGGAAGCAAAGAAATGTTGTAGAGCTTGATAAATGGTGAGTGAAAAAGTTACTTTTGGAGATTTTTCTCAAATTTCGATAATAGAAAAAGGTAATATTTTGATTCGTTTGAATGATGAAAGACACCAAGATATTTCTAGTATTTTTT